ACTGGACAAAACGTCCTGATGAGCAACCTGTGCTCCCCTGACTCCTGCAGTTCTGTGCTTTTAAGGGTGCAACAATGCAGAGAAGAGAGACAGAAAAAGGTGATTACAAGGAACAGCAACTCTGTTCCAAAGCAGACAGGGAACTCAAGGCAGGTGAGTAAGGATGAGGACAGAGACTGGAAAAGACACACAGAATTAGGATAAAAAATGCAATTAGTAAGGAGTGGTTTTATCAAATGCCTTAAAAAATTATGAGTGACCAAAAAGCAACTGCATTACCATCGAATGATAGGGGATAACACGAGAGAAATTACACTAACCCTAAATTAGCAAGCTCTGGATCCATATGTACCCATTAGCTTTGGGTGGGCTTAAGAAGTAGTCATGTCCAAAAAAAGAGAGAATAGAGCTGGCAGACAGTTCATTGGCCTCCTTTTCTTCCCTGTGCTTCTGACTGTAAATCACAATCCGGAACTGCAGTAACTAATTAAAGTCACTTAGATACAACGTATGCCCCGATGCAGGAGGAGGAGGCAGGAGGACAGGTTTACTTCATAGTATTTCAAACAACAATCTTCTTTATAAGAGTCTTATTTCTAAGAATTAGAAGACAAAAAGCTTTTGTGATGTGGTATTTGTAGATACACGTTGCTTTGATCATTATCAGCGAGAGTTTGTGTCAGTGCAGCAGGTGGAACTTTCATCCCTTTTGAAATACACAATACACTAAAAAAAATGCAAACATATCACAGGGAAAAATAGATATGCAGCTGAATACAAGGGCAATTCTTTCCAAAACCTATTTCATACACAGTGTCACACAGCAATCAAGGATCCTGCCAACTCTTGAAGTGACAATAAGCTACCACAGAGACAACACAATCTGCTCATAGATTCATCTCCCTTCCTCCTAAAGCCCAGTGCTGATTTAGAAAACAAAACTGCTGTGTAGTGAACTTAATCAAATGCTACTGGGCAGGATATTTGTGTTGATCTTTTTTCCTCTTTTTCCCCACTAAGAATGGGAGCCTCCAGTGCCCTAATGCTGGAAAGCACCATTGGATCTGTGGGTGGTCGTAGCGGGCAGATGCAGAAAAGAGGAAAATGATCATCAGAATTTCACTACTGCCACTGAAAATGACAGTATTTCCCTTTCCTAAACAGAAAAGAGAGAGAATTAGTCACAGCCTGTTCCTCCAATTTCTCTGTCAAGAGAAAGTCTCAGATTTTTTTAGTCTCAGATTTGATAGCTGTGGGGAGACAGCTGAGCAACAGGGAGGTTTATTATTATTTTGGTGCATTGTATTAAATGGAAAGCAGAAAATCACAGGAAATAGTATCTGTTGCAATCTGATGCTTAAACATATTTGATGGTATATTCAACAGCTTTGCCTGTCTCACAGCCCTGGGCAAAAACACGGCCCTTTCCCTGCTGTTCTTTCATTTCATGCTATAATGCTTCCAATTCCCCTTTTGAAAAGAATTATGTACATTATCTACCTGTTGCCCAGAACCTCCTTCCTGTGGCCACTCATAACCTCTGCAGATGCTGCTGCACTGTTATCAGTAAAAGCTTGAGTCATTTGGTGCTGGGAGGAAATGGCATCTGGGGAAAGTGCCTCAATTGAAAAAAGGGATCAATTGAAAAAACAAGGCTAAATACTATCTTAAAGGATGGTGGGGAGCTGGAATGAAAACTGAAGAAAGCAGTGGGCAGAATGAAGTTTTCTAGGTCTGAGGTTTTTTTTTTTCTTTACTATGTTGCATAGTTTTGTCCCCGTGGTTTCATTTAATTATCAAATACAGTTCCATTTAGCCCATCTGCATCTCTGAGTGTATCCTCTTGACATGACCTTCTTGGTGCTCCTTGACTGATGAAACTTCGAACATCTCAGCTTCTCAACCCTGTTCCTGTTAACCACTCCTCTCTCTTACCTTTGTATAAAAACCACTTCCCTTTCTTCCCTCAATTTACTGAACAGTCACATTTTTTTCTCATTCCAGGTCCTTTCTGAAAGTCCCCTTTATGATTATTGAATCATAGAATGGCTTGGATTGAAAGGGACTTTAAAAATTCCAACCCCCTGCCATGGGCAGAGACACCTTCCACTAGTCCAGGTTGCTCCAAGCCCTGTCCAACCTGGCCTTGGACACTTCCAGGGATGGGGCAGCCACAGCTTCTCTGGGAAACCTGTGCCAGGGCCTCCCCACCCTCACAGGGAACAATTTCTTCCTAATACTTAATTTAAACTGACCATTTTACAGGTTAAACCCACTCCCCCGTGTCCTGTCACTACGTGCCCTTGTAAAATGGAATGTGGAAAACGCATGAATTGCTTCAGGACAACCTCAGAATGTTATGACTTCAAAACTGGTCCTTTCCCTGGTGTCAAAGTGTCAAACTCAGCTAGAATTAACTTGCTCATTGCTGTAATCCTGACCTTGGCTGAGTGACTCTGCTCCCACAGAGCTCCCACTTCCTGGGCATCCTCATCTCTTCAAAGGTCAAAGACCAGATTGGGATAAAACCCCTCCCATTGCTTCCTTACCTAACCCCTCATATTCCCTGTGCTTCCCCCCACCTCCCAAACCAACCTTCTGACCACTGAAATGTACTAAGTGTATTAAACAAACTACAGGAACATATCAGGATCCTGCAATAAGAATAATTTGAGAAACAAATGCATGTTTACAAAAGGCTTTAAAATAAAAATTCTTTTCTCATTCACCACGCAAAAGATGTAAAACCTGGAGAGGCAGAATCCCACAGCCAGCAAGGACACCGACATGTTACTAAGCACTGCCACCCCAGTGGGATTGTGCAGGCTCATCCCTGGATAACACAAAGCACTGCTCAATACTCTGAGTGATGAAGATTCATACCTCATGGACACTTCTGCACAGAGACTGCTGTGTTAAATCCCGGGATGAAACATATTCCTCAAAATGAAAACACGGAAAATTCCTGCTAAATGCCAAGCCTGAAGCAGCCATGATTCAAAGGGACAAGTTGAGCAGAACAGGTGCCAAGGATGTCTGTTCTCTGGATTGATTTACAAACTCAGATTTTCTAAACCATTAGACGTTCCCCTGTCTCATGTGAGCAGACAGCGAGTCGAGTTCAATGTATCTCATCGCCATCTGGAAACTCTACAGGCAAAAATATCTTCTCTATTGAGCTCTTGAATAGCATTAGTTTTCATCCAGCTAAAATCTTTGTTCTGAAGCTGTGCAATCCCTGCTCTCCTCCTTCGTAAGTCAGGTTTATGCCTTTTCCATGTGGTTTTGATATCGATGTAGAGCTGCAGACCAAGGGAAAAACAGCCCAATGCCTCAAGGAAAGGACCCCCAAGACAAGAACTCCCACAAAATGTTCTTCTCAGCATCACCAGGTACTGTGTTCTGCACTGCAGCTCTTCTCAGCTATGACTTTTCCTAAGTGATATCAGATGCTGTTTGCCTTATCCAATCCCCTGTACCATTGTTCAAAGCATGCATGCACATACATAACATTAATTTCTCCAGCCTATTAATAAAAGCAGAAGAAAATAACAATGGCAAATTGGGTACAGGTTTATACAGATCTGTTTCTGCAGTCCACTTTCCTTTCTAAATTATATTTATGCGTTTTCATTTCCAGTTTCTTTAAATATGAATATTACCGACTAATTATCTTGTTACTATGATGGACACAATCCAAAAACCTAGACAAAATATGTCATAATTTCAGGTCTGATAATAAATTTTGTGGCTTGAGTCACAAGGGATTAAAGACCTTAACAAGCCTGCCCAAGAAAAGCTGGCTGCAAATGAAGTTATCTTTATTTTATTTTCCCCATAAAGGGAAGGTTTAGCTCGGCATATTGCTCTCAGAGATGCACAAAGCACAACAGCTTGTTTTGGGCTGCTGCCACTCAGCTTCATGCTGCATCCCCATCTAAAATCATTAATCTTTTACCACCAGGAACACAATTAATCATGTTTCTTTTCAGAGGAAAAAAAGAGAAAAATCATAGTAATTTTCATAGAAAACACTGCAAGGTACTCCATCAATAACAGTCATTTTTCTTCTCAGTACACACTAATAGATTTGCTCACGGAAACCTGCTTGTCATTACAATATTAAAAAAAAAAAGCAGTCATCTAAAATACATATAACCAATATAAGCAATAGGAAAAACACATGAAGAACCAGTCATCTGCTTAGTTGTTCTGTGTAAGGCAACAAATGTCCTTTTACCGACAGCTGAATCGTAAAAAAGAGATAGGGTTGAAAAAAAGCTGTTTATAAGACTTTGGAGGTTATTTTCAAGTGCAAACGTTTTTCCATTTAGCTCACAACACAAAACCTTTGCCTAAATTATGGTGCAAATTTTGATTCAAAACTTGCCGAAACCAAAAGTCTTGCCAACAGTTTGGCTTGAATTAATGCCTGCTACTTGTGGATATAAAGACAATAAGTCTATGAAAGTGTGTGACTCGATGCCACCCCCTCGCCCCCAGAGCAGAGATGCCCACTGCCAGTTGTATAAAAATCTCATTCATGCTGTTTTCAGCCTTTAAGACCTGAGAACTTACTCGGGCGCAGCTCTCATTAGGTCACTAAGAGTTCTGGCTGAATACAAATGACAATCCAGCCACGACATTTGCCACACGGATTCACACACATCTTTGTTGCTTTCCTTAAATATTTCATAACTTAGTCATTCTTTACAATTACATATCACAAGCTGTTACCTTTTTTCTTTGTTTTTAAGAGACACGCACAAGACAGCTATAGACTGCCTTTTGTATTTTTTTTTTTTTATATTTTATTTTATTTTAATCCATAAGCTAATTGGCTTTCTGGGCAACCTAACCAAATTTCCCAAATTTAATTTTACGAGATGCTCCATAATATCCATTACAGCAAACACTGTCCCGCAGATTGGATTAGCAGGCTCTCTGGACCTGCTTATTTCTGAATTGAAAGTGCAGCACAGGCTGGATAAACGAATTACCTGAGCAGCGGAACTTCTTGCTCTTGATCTGGCTGATGCGTTTGTTGGCAAGGCGACGGGGATTGCTGCACCGAGCGCCGCTCGTCTCGATCGGATTATCCTGCAGGTAATCAGCCAGCCACTTCAGATGGCAGTCGCACACAAATGGGTTCTGAGCTAAATGTCTGCGAGAAGGATGGCATGTTTAATCACAAGTGACCCGTGACACCGTGCTCCATCACCGCTTTTCACAAAACGCAAGCCTGAGCAGTGGAGTAATTGAATAAGCTCCCCACCAAAAAAAAAAACCCCACAAAAAAACCCAAAACAAACAAACCAAAACCAAAAACCACCCACCGATCCCCAGGCCTGGCAGGAACCACAAAGAGCTGCTCATGAATGGGAGAATTCTGTGAGCTACCACGTTTCGCAGCTCGTTAAGCCTCCTGCAAGTGCTTTGAGGGAGGAAACAAAAATTAAGATAGCAAAGCCCGCTTTAAGGGACACAGACCTCCTGTAACCAAGTCCTGTGTTTCCTTCTGAAAGCTTAACATGCTGCTTTTTGAAACCTACCTTACCTGGAGATAATTTTGTACCCTGGTTTAAATGAAATTTTATCAGCAAGCTCAGTTTCTTAGGGATCAAAACCTGAATCAGTAAAGTTCCTTGGACGTTCGGGCAAAGCCAGAAGAGATCCAGGACTCTCTTCACAAGATTGAAGTCAATATTTCCATATACTCATCATGTGTAAAAGTATTCTCCTTTTATGTACTCATTCCTGGAGCAAAATTTATAAGACTGAACTGTTTATGCAAGGTAGAAATTCTCCTTCACCAAAATTTGCACAACTTGTTTCCTATGCAGTTGGCAATAGGTGTTGCAGCACTGATTTTAACTGGCTAGTTAGACTTTGGTAACAGAAATCTGCTGGAGCATCTTAGAGAGAAAGAGCATTTCTGTGCTGCTGTTCTGGTTCATTCTGCATGGCACAGCTGGGCACTGTATCAGGAGAGTTTGTCAGGTCTCTCCCAGAGCTGGGTTCTGATCTCAGTTAAGTTAACTTGCCTCAGTCCCTCTGACCTCCAAGGGAGCAGGACACAGCTCTCCAATAACTGCAAAGACACTTTAAGAAAAGACAGATGTTTCAATTTGGTTTGGACAGAGGTGTAAAGTTATAGCCTCTGTTACTGTTTTCCACCTGTAGAAACTTCTTTTCTGGTTGCAGTTATATTTATGAACTGTCATTTAACAGGATGAGTATAAAACACAACAGGGCAATGGCTGTGCAGGAGTGGGAAGGGAAAGCTCACACAGCAGAGAGGGCCCGAAGAAACTCAAGGTGAGTGTTGCAGTAGAGCCATTCGTGGTGTGAGAGGTCCAAAAAACAGAGAACCATGACACCTGACAAAGTGTCTTGGTATGGAGCAACAAGTCCATTCTAAGTAAGAGCCACCAGGAATGCCAACAATACCCTGGAAAACCAAGGGGAAATGTTTATACCTTAAGGGTGTTGCCTGTTGTTTAACTTGACAAACCTTAAATACTTCTGTGAACGAACCCTCTCTGTGGCCTCTGTGCATATACAGAACTGGAGGGGGTTATTCCAGTGGCTGGCAGCAGGACATACTGGCCAGGTACCTGCTGGAAAATTGAGCTTGTGCTTGTGGCTGCCTGAGCCGGTGGAAGAAACACTGCTGCTAGAAATCATCCCTACTAGTTCATCTGTGTGTGAATTAAAACATTTACAAAACTATTTCAGCCAATGCACTTCCAGTATTAAAGTATATACGGGCATTTGTTTACAAAAATGTCCATACTCCAGTATGTGTGTGCATATCCATATATAATGTGCCTGTGGATTCCACTATGTGTATATATACATACCCATAATATTTTAATGCTGGAATATCAGGCTGCCAACTCCAGCTCTGAAGGAGTACTATTTACCTTAATATCTTACAACTCACAGCTTTGGGATGAGACCTTCTTCTCCAAAATACTGAGTCATTCCTATCCTTTTGCTTCTGATCCCTATTCTAAAGCCTCCACATTCAAAGACTGTCAGAAAATGTTTGGTGGATTTTCTAAATGGATCGAATAATACAACATATCATTCCTCTGAAGTGAAATATCAGCTGAAATATATCATCTGTGCCATGCCCATGTCCTAAATCTTCCAACTATATATATATAAATATATACAAGCACAGGCATCATTTCCATAGCCAAGCAGCAGGACCCAGACCCAGAAGGGAGAGATGCCAACTCATTAGCCCATCAAAACTTTTGGGCAATGATTCTAATAGCATCTGTTGTTAATACGTCTTACAAGTCAAAAGCACATATTATCTTCCCAAAAAGCAGTACAAGTTTAACGCACTTATGACATTTACGTCACTATGGGCAGACTGTGTCGATAGCTGGCCTTGCCACCAATGGCTGAATTGATGCAATGCTTCTGTTTCTTGCTCCTTTTCTTTCTGTGAGAAAAGGAGGGGCTGCTCCACTGATGTCTCTTCCAAATTGCCTTAATGTCAGCTGCAAAGACAGGCAACATCTTTGGTGGGAAAAGGGAGAGCTGTCGTTTGTGACCCGCCTGCATACTCACAGAGTCTGGATCGATCGCAGAGGTGCAAAGAGCCCCTTGCTGATGGTCTGCAGTTTGTTGTCATAAAGAGATAGCAGTTTGAGATTATGCAGACCTTGGAACGTGTTCACCCTCAGGCAGTTGATCTTATTGGCATTGAGAAGCCTGAAAACAGAGGAAAGGTTTAGAATTTGTTCATCTTGTAGTAATCAAATAAAGATAGACTGGGCTTCGGGGTTAAGTCTAAAAAATTATTAACCAAGTCACCAAAGCCAACCCATATGTAAAGGGGTTCGTTTGCCTGGTACATTTAAAAGGTGAAAAAACAGTCAACATGAGTAGTCTCAAAGCTGGGGAATATCCAGTAACAGTGTGCACATACATGTATATATATGTGACAGTGCTAGCCATCTTAAAACATGCAAAGATTGGGGGGGGTTGTATGCCCAGCCCCCTCCCAATTTGCTCAAAATTCTACACAAATATTTAAGGAAGCCTTCACTTTAATATACACAGAAACAGCAAATACTCCCCACCTCGCTATTCCATGCACACACTCCCACACAAAGTCCACAATGAGAAGAACCCCTTTTTTTTTTTTTTTTTTCCAGCTTTCTCTCCCAGCAGCTGCATTAAGCCTAACTGAAATTCTGGCAGTTTGAAATCTCTTGATAAGCAGTGCAGGGTTAATTTGCTCATGGAAGGGGAAAAAAAAAAAAAAAAGTGCTTCTGCTCAGAGACAAGAAGAGAAGTGGAAGGTCTGGACTAAAACTTACTGAAAGACAAACTGATTTTCCACCTCAGGACAGATCAGCAGGGGATCAGGCTGCCCAGAGGAGCTGTGCAGCCTCTGCTGATGGAGGTTTTCAGGGTGGTACTGAATAAAGCCAAGAGCAACCTGCTCTGACCCGATAAGGTGGCTCTGCTTTAAGCAGACTCACTGTCTAGTGATCACTTGAAGACTCTTCCAACCTCTACTGTTCTACAGTTCTATGAACCTCCTCCATTCCAGTCACACCATATCCCTGTGCACTTGTGGAAAAGCAACACAAAGGCAATTTAAATAATCTTTAAAAAATATCTTTTGTACAGCTACACTAATCAGTTCAGCCAGAGAATTCTGGACAGTACTTGTGCAAGTTTTCTTAGATCACCCAGCCGGAGTTCTGTCCTGTATAACAAATATATGCAAACCCAACAACAAGCTGGATCTCCTGCTGAGACAATCAAACACAAGAACACTTAAACTGTCACCCTCATCTGCATAGCTGGTATCTTACACTCAGAAGGAAAAGAGGCAGGAAAGAACCTGTTCTTACAAAAGCCAAAATCCATTATCTTTTGACTACTCTCAGCCTGAGGAATAATGGTAAATTGCAAACAGTGTATTTGTTAACTCAGTTCTCTTGGTTACAGAATTCTTCCCTTGTCAATGAGTTCAAGGGGCTTAGGACTGCATCATTGTCAGCTGCACATGATGCCTTCCTTTTGCTCCAAAAAGTAATTCAGAAGGTGTTTCCTCTGCCCTTGCATTCCTGAAACCTTTTGAACATTGAACACTCGTTACAGTTCTCTGCTCCTGCTGTTGTTTTGGCAGAGCCTCATCAGTGCAGCCAGTGGCTCCAGTAAGTGTGATGCACAGGAGATGGAGGCATGGTTGAGCAGTGTGGAGAACTCCAGGAGAACAGGAATGCTCTGGAATGAGAGGGCTTTGGAGGAGAACTCACCCTTCCAGCCTACAGAAAAGTCAGTATCAATTTACCTGAATTCTCTTCTCTGCATGTTGTGGAAAATGAAGTTTGACATTATTGAAGACAAAATCCCATAGAAGGCAATGATGGATAAATGAGGTTACATTTTTGCATGAACCAATAGTTAAAACAATTTTATGAAATCATAAGCAGCACCAGTATGACCCCTCTGGAATCTGCATTTCCTTGACACCTAATCCACACTCCTGTTGGCTCCACCAGAAGTAACAGGGTAATTTTCATATTAGGCTACAGGAACAGCTCCCCCTCCTTTGCTCCAACAGCAAAGAGCAACGTCATCCCTTCCTGCTTGCTTCTTATACCCATTCATGTCTCCAAGCCAAAGCAGTTTTCATCCTCCCTTGGTTCTCACATATTATGCATTTCTCTTTCCAGCTGGTACAGTATCTTATCCATAAAGAACAGGTTAGCAAGGTATGAGAAGACAGAACCAGCTACTGAGTTTGGAACAACACCATCAGACATGCTTCTTAGGATTACAAATCCTTTGATTTCTACCCCTTGTCCTTGTGCACTGGTCCCACAGTGATTTTATGTAACACATTAGCTTGGATAAGCTGTTCATATGCCGGATTCAGATTCATTCTCTCATTAGTTTCAACAAAACATGAATAAACCCAATGCTGGAAAACAGAATTCACAATGTGACGAGTTTTCCTGGCATGAATTTTCAATGACTGGGTTCAAGGGGATAAAATCCGTGACATTTCCTTAAGAACCAAACACCAAAAATGAGAGCAACTGATTCTCTACAAAGCCACAAATACAGAGGCTCACACTCTCCTTTAAGCATCAGAGGAGCAGGAAAATGCTTGTGCAGACTGTTCAGAAGTGGAAATTCAGGTCCTACAGAGCTTTCCTGAGGTGACAATACCTATCCTGTGTATCACCCATGCAATATGAGTGCAGTACCTAATCCAATCTAAAGCAAAAAACTGTGAGAAAGCAGAATAAATCACCCCTAATTTTTTTCTCCTACTACTTACTGTGAGTTAGAGGATGACTATTGGCCAGAAGCATTAAGGTTCATTTTCCTTTAAAACCCCTCAGTTGTTTTAAAATATCCTCTGTGGATATTCCCCTCGATAAATTCCAGTTCTTTGTTTAATCTTTCTTCACTATCCCAGCCCCCTTAATGGCATCTAATTATTAATTAGGTATACAAGGCTGGCCTCACATGGAGCTAAAAGTGGCTATGAGAGGTTTTTCTTTAAACTAACACAAAGGCAGATGAGAAAAACATATTCCAGGAAGCAGAAACACTGATCTTTCTTAAACACTGAACCAGTCTGTAAGACATACTAAGGGTTCTTTTATTGGACTTATACCAAGAGAAAGCACAGCATTAAAAGCTGAGTCTTACTTTAGCAGGAATTACGTGGTATTTATTTTGCACCAATTCGTGGTGAAAGTAAGTAAATTCCACTCATTTTCCTATTTTGTTATCAGCTTGATTGGATGAGAGTCACACACGGCCTCCAGATGTGGGGCAGCATTCAAAAGGAGGTTAAAAATTCAAGCAGAAATAAAACCGCCTGCTGCCCAGAGGGATGATGGATTATTAACCCAAGCCTCCATTTTCATCCCTCTGGATATGTTAAAAACATGAAGAAACCTCTCTCAAGGCTTGGACCACCACAGAATACAGGAGGATGGGAAAGACTTTGTGGTTTACACGCCATCGAGAGCAGCGAGCTGAGCAGAGCACTATTACAATTCCATGAACCCGTTTCCTGAAAAAGTGGATTTGTCCACACACATTGAAATAATAACGTGTTTCAGCTAAGCCCTTGAAATGGATGTGCACTGAATTGGCTCTGTAATTGTATCAGCTGCTCATAAGCACCATCTGCATAATTAAGATGGTCCCGTAATTGAATTATATGCCCAAGCACAGTTTCAAGTGATTAACATTTAAATAACATTCTGAACTCCAAACCCAAAATGATTGAAAAAATTGTTTTTTAAGAGCAAATGGGAATGTTTATATGGCTTTTACCCCTAGCAATGTTTGTATTTTTATCTCAGTGAAGTCAAGTAATCAAACTATCAGCAAATAACCTCAGAATTTAGAAAATCAAACAGCAGCTGAGCAACTCTGCCCAGGCTGGGGGCTGCAGGCTGGTCTCTGGTGCTACAGGATGGACCAGGAACCACCCAAGGTACCTCAGTGAACCAAAACCAAAGTGCTGGGGAGAGAAGCTTCACAGAGGCACTGAAAAAAACTTCTCCTCCTTTTTCACAAGCTTTTTGTTTTGACAGCAGTGACAACATGATGAGAATGAGAATGTTTGGCATCCCGTGAACTGGCTGGCACATCCCACATGCCAGACTCCACTGGGGAAAATGAGAACTCACCAGAAAAAGGCAGATATAAAAGGCAGAGGAGGCTTGTTTGGAAGAGGAGAACTGGGTAACAGTTTTGCATGGGTAAGAGTGGAATACAAATTGAACAGACGTGACCTTTATAGAAAATCAATAGTCAAAAGTTTCACCTACACTCAAAGGCACTACAGGGCAGCAAGGAAAGAACTCTCAGCGGGAAGTTTTCCTTAGGATATACAACACATGGCACAAGAAGTCAAAAAAAAAAAAAATTAGCACGTATTTTTCAGCATTTTCTCCTGACATTTATAGGGAACCAAGTGTCATCTTTGATTTAACATGACTTATCATGGGAGAAGAGCTCAAGTGTCAATATGGCAATATCTAGTCGAGTACTCGGTCAGCCCAGCAGTCAATGACAAGCAACATCTAATGACAGAAACGTGTGTGCCCCTGCTTCCTTATTGGCAAAATAATTATATTAGGTTTCAGGAATGTTTTAAACTGGCCTGGACCGTCAGGGAACATTCTGATTGCCTCTCACTGTGTCAAGATACTTACACATCTACTAAAATTTACATTTTCTAATGTGATGACTGACCACTGAAGAGTCTGTCAGTGCTTCAGCTGATAATAACCAGTGTGAAATCATCATCATGCTTGCTTGAAACAGCTTCAAGTGTTTCTCCATGTTCAGGAAGCTGGATGATGGTGATGACAAATGTATTCAAAGTAAATTAAAAAGGAAAAGTCACAAGCTGATAATGAGTCGAGAAGGAAGCACGGAGTCTGACAGTCTGACAGTCCTATTTTGGAGAGATTTTAAAGAAAGATTTTATTCCTGATCCAAAAAACCGCAACTCCAGCTGAAAACCATCCATAAAACAGTCCTGTGGAACTCATGTTACTACCTGGAGAATTATAAGCACATGTTGTCACAGCACCCAGGCTTCTGTTATTTAAAATTCAGTACTGTCTAACTTGTGCCTGCTGATAAGGTCACAGCTGATTCTAGATAACCACACGATAATTCAGATGCACCACAGAATGAACACATTTCCTCAGCTC